CTGCTGGTTTAACACCTTATACCATAAAAAAATAACACGTCCATATAAACTCGCGAAGCCGGCCACAGCTAAGACTGAAATACGCGAACCCATCGAAATTCATGACAAGTCAAGTCGTAACACTAACAGCCTCTATTATATATAACTAGTTATAATTTAAGATATTTTTCCTTTAATACTAATCCGCACACATAAGGAATAAGAATTAATAAAATCAGGAAATACGAGATAATTAACGTATTACAATATTATTATTAACGATATTATAAAAAACTTTCGGCGCGCACAGACGTTCTAGCCAACTGCGCTTAGCGCCTGACATCTTGACTGCTCGAAATAATATTATAATAATTAAATCTTATTACAATTTACTATAAGCATATAGTACATATTTTATTATTAATGTTGAACACTTGCTGCGTGGATCAGACTAATATTATTAATTTAATTTTCAAGTGGACGTTAGCCCGGGTAGACTATGGCAGTATGACGTCACGGTCTGTCTCATGAAAATGAATGCTATAAAATGAAATAAAAAATAAACTGCGAATAAACCCGAGAAGTTTCATTAATATATAACTTGGGTTTGTTAAAGTTCGTTTCATTTAATTTACATGTAAATAATGACTCATGGGGAAACAAGTGAATGTCAAACGAATCATGACGTCATGTTTGTACTGTGGGTAGGCTATCTCCGCACCGGCAGCGTCAGCTAACGCCCTTAGTAAATGTCAATGCATTTGCAACCATTGACGGTCGCGTGACACATTGGTCTGCCGCCGAGATTCATTTTCCCGGTCCTGGGTTTTGTTCCACTGACATATTGCGTCAAGCAAAAACAGGCAGATTATCCGTTGTGTGGAAACCATGACGTCATCGAAACATTCGATTCGCTGTCCGGAATCAACATAAAAATAAGAAAAGTAGGCCTGCCCTCTAATGCACAAGTGCAAATACTTAGTTCGCTAGGATTGTTCCATTCTTAGACATCTATCTCTTTCAAACACTTTCCCTTTCACACAACAGAAGTGGGGTAGTAAGTGATAATATTCATTAATTTTAGCGACCGATTTTAATTGACTACTTGAGTCTTCTTTTCTGTTTTATTTAATTCAAGAACTGGTAGTATGATGGCACCATACCACTACTAATCGGTACTAATTACATATTACTCTCAAGAATAATGAGGGATAATAATTTATCAATTATTATGTAAATTGAACAATAGAAAATTTGTTAAGAAACAAATAAAAGAAGGCATTTATTTGTCATGGCCTAAATACCCTGGTCGATCGATATCTAAATACCATGACACATGATACCAAGACACATGTAGTCCAAAATTAAATATTGACAAATGAATTTAGTGCTTTAGTTAAGCCCTAATTAACGTTTATGAATGCGGCCGAAAGTCACTTAATAAAAGGTTTATCACCGGCTCCATGTGTGTACAAAATTTCAGATCGTTTGGACGTCTGGAAATCGGTGTAAATCGAACTGAGATATTTCAATACATCCCTAGATATATACCTGATAACTACCTTGTGCAGTTGCCATGGTAATGGCTACGACGTCGTGAGTCGTGGGTTCAATTGCCACACGAGACAACTATTTGTGTGACCCAAAAATAATCGTTTCGGATCAGGATGTTCGTCGACATGAAATTTATGCATGTAAAATCACTTACAACACTTAATAAGTGTTATCCTACAGTAAGGGGGTAGTATTTTCGAAGGGGAGACTAAGGTAGATCTTTCTCGTTCTCAGTAATCGTTGGGACCTACTACCCAGCCCCTTCTACAAAAAGATATACAGATACGTACACAGAGGTGGAGCAAATAGAAACGCGTTAATAACAACAGTGTTCTAATTAAAGTTAATTGCTCGAGTAAGTTTTCCGCGCAACACCCGCTGTCACAAGTTCGCGGCCATAGTGATGTCACTCGCGCTTTATCTCCCATCTTACACCATATAGTCCAAGGACTCGTTGGAAAATGGCCGCTAACTAAACCCCGTTATGTTTTATCTTTGCACAGTCGCTAATTGCACCGGTAATTAATGCGTTACACGCGAAAGTTGTTCGTGTTTTCAATTTATGAGATATTTACTAATATCTATTCTGTATTTGAGTGGGGAAAGAATTTGCGACCGCAGATCGTTCTATAACTGTCTTATATTTCGATATGATACTTGTTCAAGGCGTCGACAAAATAACACTAGATTTTAGTGTCAGTGAAAAAACTTTCCCGAAGAATAAAGGAAATTAATCGCTCTACGATAGTTGCAAAACAATTACATGTTGGAGTAAACCTGATAATATTTATGCATATATGTTTGTATTGACCATTTGATGATCTCATAATATAAACTTACTCAAGGACGTCGATTCCCGTTAGTTAAGTACAGTTTAAAAGATTTTTTAACTAAATACTACTGCGGATTAATTAAATTACAAACTAAGTTTATCACCGTACTGCGTGATAACATATACGTGTTGTCTGGAGGTTACGCCTTTGAACCTTGTTACGTTAGAATTTATTAATATATAAACAATAAATGATCTGTACAATACTACGGTAGCATCCACAGTGACCTAACAATACTTTAAGTAATAAAAAATAATAATTTTCTTAGAATATCTAGAAAATATTTTTATTATTTAAATACATAAACTAATTATTAACGTTTATTTAAATCATTCATCAATCAATCATATGGTACCGATATAGCTTTAAGTCTTTGGCTAATAGTTCCGGGCATTATTTTTTGCACTATTCACCAAAAAAACTTACTATACCTACATATTAACGATATGGTATTCGCTTGCCGAATCGATGCATCTAATGCTCCCAACCCTTGGTAAAAATAAAAAAAAATTCTAGCGATTTAAACACATGTATGTGAAATAAAAATGCACATGTTTTGACTACAATGTTTAATATTTATCGCTTTATAAAAATTTACAAAAATCAATTTTGGATTATTATCAACATCATCATTGAAGCTTCCACATATGGCTTTTAGTCTTCAAATTTTCAATATTGAACACGGTTCATCTGTGTATACACGGAGAAGTTGATACAAGCTCAACGATTTCGTAAATTTACTCGAACAGTGAAGATTTAACAGCAACCTTAAAAATTCTATCGAGACTTCTAACTCACAGCGTTTCCACAGCGTGAACCAATTTTGGCCAAGAAAAGATCTGAGGTGAAAGTTGGACACCATAACATCCACACCATAACATCCACAATGGGATTATTAAAAAAAATACGCCTAGAGAGTTTCTTATAAATTTCGAATTAGATATGTTCTATACGGCTTTGAAAAAATTGCGTTATTATGCGAATGTTTAACACGTCGAAGGACATACTACTGAACACATTGCCGTATATTCTAACGCTATCGACGTTCCAAAAATAATTTCTACATTCATGTAGATGTAAATGTTTATTCAGATATCGGCATGTCAAGGAATTTCATTGAGCATTGTGTATACTGAAAAAAAAATCATTTAAACAGAGTTATGGAACATCCAAAGTATTTCTGTTTTTTTTAAACATTTTTATAACATTGTAGTAACATTACAGACACACAAACGTGTGTGACGTTCTTATTTCTTTCTCCTGCCCTTATCCCGTCTAGTTATGGTCGGTACATATGAATCATGTCGTTAATGGTGTTGGTTAGGATTATTTTTTACGATCGGCCGCTTGTCTGGGGTCATTCTAATTTGCAAACTAATGCGGAAAAAATATCTATGGGTCACACAAACAAATTTATAAGTCATACAAATATCCGTTACCAATGGGAAACCCATTGACCACGTCGCCAAAGCTCATACCTTAGTAATTGCGACAAGAGAACTATTAAATATTTAATCGCTGTTAAATCTTTACTCATCGCTACATCAAAGTCGTCCCGCTCTCCGTCTGTCCCTATGTATGCTTAGATCTATAAAACTACGCAACAGATCTTGATAACGGTGGTAGGGCAACGCAGCAGCCTCGGCTGTTGCACGAATAGGCTGGCTCATCCGGGTAAGTACCAGGACCTCACAGAAGATCGGCGTAAAGTGGAAGTATAATACTTTCGCGTTTCGTCTGGTGAACCTTCTGCTCGCTTGGCAATTTTTGACATAAAAAAAGATCTTGATGCCGTTTTTTTAACTAGATAGAGTGATTCAAGAGGAATGTATAATACATTGCACCCGTGCGAAGCCGGTGCGGGTCGCTAGTTATAAATTATAAAACAAGGCGAGTGGATTGAACAAAATCATCGATTGCTTCATAATTAGGAAAATGTTTTAAATATCCAGCTTTCAGGTTTCTTCTTAAACTGAGACAGGAATGAAAACTCAAGCCTAGAGCAATTCTGGCTACCTAGTAATTGATTTCGATTACTATTTTATGAATCAAACACTGACCTGTGTTAGACTACCATGCTCCCCCTTACAGGTAAACGTATAACTTTGTAAAGTACTTTTGCCTTGCTACGGTAGGACAGGGAAAAATTTGGAATCTGTTCCACAAAGTATGCGTTTACATTAGCGCATAATTACAAGTACCATGCTTCCTAGTAAAAGTCTAATGCATTACGTGTGTTTACCCCAATCAAGTAGTTCAGACCATTAACTGTACAGTTTGTATAAAATTTATGAGTCGATTTCATCGGAATTAAAACTATTTAAATTAAATCTTATAGCTTTATGATTTCTGGTACTTAAATACGCGAATACTAGACATTCTTAAATAGAAATTTATCGCGTTTAATTACAATGTAGTCCTGAATACTTTATCGCAATAGACACGAAACAGACTCAAGTATTTTACATCTTAATGGTATACTAAAAGCGGGCTACCAAGTTTTCATAATTAATTTTGTCCGATCTACAAAGTGTGAGCTTCTTAAAGTGTTGACAGTATAATAACCGATCAATACTGAAACGCGTATTCTCTCGTAAATCTTAGTTGAGTGGCGGCGATAAAAGTGTAATAAACATGTCGGAGATCGAGAACAAAATGAAGCGGCTGAAGAACCGTCTGATAAAGATACACGGGAAGATCCAGGACACAGTCGAGGACTTCCAGGATCAGGTGCAGAACAAAATAGAGAGGTCGAAACTCGCCAGTATCGTTTCGAACCTATCCGAAGAGAGGAGTTCCTTCGATGACAATTCTACTGACGGAGACAAAGTGTCTACGGACTCCGTGGAGAGTAAAAAAGGGAAAAGCGAGAAATCTACCAGTATCCCGTTTGTGGTTATTAATGAATCAGAAACTGTTATCGACGCAGACCAAAAGGAGGTTTGCAGGGACTTTTTGAGAGTCGAGAGCCACGGCGCGATTTACAGAAGCAGGTCCGATTCAGACCTCACCTTTGAGAACGGTTCTTCTAACTTTGACAGCTCCAGCGAGTCCTGTCTCTCTTGCTTGTCTTCTAGTGACGAGAGGTACTTGGTTTTAATTTTCAATAGTTTCTACAAAACAGTCTACTATTACTTATGCTTACTATTTATAACAAGCGCTAAGCTTCCACGTTCTTACCTCTTTATAATTATTTACAAAAAAAATGTCCGAGACATTTGTGACTCTTCAGAATTTACTTTTATTTAACCAACGTAAAATTAAACTTTATTTATTTTTAAATTTAGAATGAAAGTTAACCTCTCACCATATTTTTGTTACATTTATCTTTAACTGTTGTTGTTTTTTTTTTTTTTCATTTTAAATGCAATATTTTTTAATTAAAATAAATTCACAGTCAAGTCTGAAACGCAAAATGCTATGAAACAACAAGAACCCAACCAACCCGAGTCATTTATTTCTCGTATCTTCAAATCACAGTACAACCCTACTGTACAAAGTGGCAGTTATGCGTTATTTTGATTTTTCGCAACAGAAACTTAGACATAAGACCGAGGGCTGGCAGTCTTCCGCCGGGCCAGAAACTCGACGTACCCTCAGCCGTGAACGCGTGCAGTGAGATAATAGAGAAGATAGGGAACAGATTCCCACGGCTCAAGAGTAAGGGTGAACGGATACATAGGGTATTACGATTTAATGATGCGGTTTCGGTGGTAGTCTTGCATGCGCTATCGTTCGCCTCAGCTCACTGGTCTTATAATTATTGATGGTTGCCATTGCCTATAATTACCACTAATTGTGTATCTGTGCGCACAGCTGTTGCCTTGTTAGCGTCATTGAATGTTGCCATTAACTAAAAATTAATTAACACTATTTCCCATCTATGGTTAGCGGTGTTTTATATATACTCTAAATATAATATACGCTTACTATTTCAGAACGAGGTAAAGGGTCGTTTTAAGAAATTCATGTCAGTTTTAGCTTTGGGAATTTTTGCCCCACAAACTGCACCTGATTAGGTTTAATGACGTTTAGTAAATGAAAATAATATCCAGCACTAATCTTAGTGTTGCAATTCTAAGAGGGTTACCACCGAATTGATAATTTAGTTGAACTTCGGGTCTTTTACTGGTAACCATTGTAGTAGTAACCTGACTAATAGTCAAATCTTTTATACATTTTACTACTTTGGCGCGATGGGAAAAGTAGATAATGAAACTGTCTTGCACCACAGAAGGTATGCATTCGATATCCAGTACTATGTGATAAACACAGTGTTTTTGTTATGTCGGAGTACTAATATATCTTTAATATGTATTTATTTAAAGAAAAGAAGTACTGTAAAGTATAATTCATCGGTTTAGTACCCATATAAGCTTTGCTTACTTTGGGTCTAGAAATAATTAGTTTTTAAATTGTTAATGATTAGTTTTTACGCTAATAACAGGATTTTAATAATTGTAATAACCCTTTTTGCCATTCTCAAAATGTAATAAAAACGATACAATTAATTACAAGAAATATCTAATTCAACGATAATTAAGAATAAGAATAAAGAATGAAAATGTGTGTAGGTTAAATAAGAAAATGTTATAAAACAATTATTCAACTGCGTGTTTAATCAATAAAAAATATGTAATGGTTTTTAAATAACACAAGATTATTTAGACAAAAGCTCGGCTTAATAGATCTCTGTAATTATTATTTTTTTAATAATAGATGGGAAATTAAATTGTGAGAGTCCATATTCCCATATTTTTTTTAATTTATTTATATATATAATTCTTCTCTTTCCATATATGTTGTTATTATGAAAATATTTAAAATTATTAAATAAATTCATGAGACATTATTAACTAAATAATTAAAAGGGCTAAACTCATGTTCAATTGATGTCGGCACCGACTAATATTGATCGATTGGACGCGAGTTTATTTATTTAGTTAAGAACTTTAAATAATTTTCTTTTTTTTAAACTCAAGCGTAAGATAACTAATGTCTTTACTACTAATGTTTAAATAATGTTTAAAAAGCTTCATAACCCTTTAAATATTTGGTTTTTGTCTATAACACTAGCTTACGAAATATTTGGTTCGTTACAAAAAGTGATTAATAAATAACAAACGCTAAAAAGACTATGTTTTTGTTATATTTTGTTGATTGTAAATAACGGATATACAGTAGCAGTTCGACGAAAAAAATTCTTTGCTTTCCTCGCACTGCCTTCTGTGCTTGCAGTACCTCTTGAAGAACACGAGATTGAGCGACGTGAACAAAAGGCTGAAGGCGCAAATCTGGAGTTCCGTGGTGACGATAGTTCTCGTTGAGGCCAAGAATCTTCCAGCAATGGACGTGGACACTAGATCCAGCGATCCGTATTGCAAATTTAGGTGAGAATTTCGCTTACAACGCGATCTTAGGCCAAACTAGTAAGATATACAAAACATTGGAAATAATGTAGAAAAATGTGTAATTTTTTTTAGTGCGTAAGATGTGTAGACAAATTATCGATAACTTCTTCGCCGCTACCAGGATTCGAACCTTCGTTATCCTCCTCAGTTAACTGTGGTAGGACTATGTACAAGTCTTCACTGTTGCACGAATGGGCAGGTCCGTCCTGGTAAGTACCAAGACCTAACAGAAGACCGGCGTAAAGTAGAAGTGTTATAATTCTGCGTTTCGAATTGTGAGTGAGATAGCCGGGGCCCACCTTATTTAGACGTGGTAACACATTTGCAAACCTACGGGTGTTGCAAAAGTCCATGGGCGGCGTTTACATTAGGTGAACCGCCAGCTCATTTGCCACTTTATCACATAAAGTGATACCCTAACTCCACTATTTATACATTTCTGTTCCCTGATCAGCGTTTACCAAAACTAAACACAGTTATTACTTTCAGGCTAGGCAATGAAAAATATAAGAGTAAAGTGGTGTGGAAATCGCTACACCCATCTTGGCTGGAGCAGTTCGATTTGCATCTGTACGACGATCAGGAACAAATATTGGAGGTCACGGTCTGGGACAAGGACAAGCAAACGAAAGACGACTTTTTGGGGAGGTAGGTATGTCTCGTTTAATTGTAAGTAGAGTTGCAGAGAGATGAACTATGAGTGGTCTGTGAACTAGAGAAGACATAATAAAATGTTCTGTTCTGGTGACATTCTTTAAAACCTCTATTCACTCTAGATACTGACCCTCCTGACCCATCTATTTTATCTCCCCACCTTTAATATCTATCTTCTATAAACAATAAAAATCTACACACACGGCTTGACACATAAATTCATTATTCTTCTACTATGTCCTTCTCATTGATCAGATTTCTTACTTTATTCTTTTTTTTTTGTTAAGACCATCCTTCTGTGGAATGCAATATCCCTAGAAAGATTTTGATATCACCAAGGCTATTGTTTTAAAAACAAAGCTCTTGACAATATGCTTAAAGAACTATCAGCGGAATTAGTTTGTCGAAAAATCAATTACAATGTAATTAGATTTTTTAAATACGTTGTATGAGAATATGTTTCTCGAAGAATGAATTTAAATTTAATTAGATTTTTTAAATTCATTATTTGATAGATTATTAATTAAAATTAAAATTCGTGTTAAGGTGAATAACATAATATTGGATTTTAGGTGCACGATAGATCTGTCATCGTTGGAACGCGAGAAAACGCACAGCATCTGGCAAGAGTTGGAGGAAGGTAACGGGCAGATATTCTTGTTGCTGACCATCAGCGGAACCACGCAATCCGAGACCATTACTGACTTGACCAGTTACAGAGAGAACCCTAGAGATCTAGAAATAATAGAACGAAGATATGTGAGTAGAACATGTATTGACATGTCTCTGAATCCTTAAAGGTTTCCAAAAGTTCATAAGCACACAATAACTTCTCAGAAAGCCACTTATCAGCATCAGCACTTATATATTTCTCAAGCCATTGCATTGTTGCTGCTATTTTTATTCATACATCTCTATAATAAATCCCGAGATATGTCAGAATCTGGATACAAATCATATGAGCTCTTAGAATATCTGGCCCAAAAATAATCCGTAATTGACGTCAAGGAGTACTAAAGTAATCTTTCTGTATAGTACTCTGAAGGCCAAATTATATATAAATAATGATTTTTTGGACATATTGTTTCTTTTCTTTTTTAAATCTTAATGGTGATACGTTGGCGACATCAATTAATTTTGCTAGTTCAAGTTCTAAGGCGTACAAACATCACTATGCTTATTTTCAGTTCATTGATATATTCAACATGTTCTCGATGGCTAGTAAATGCGGAAAAAGTTTATAGGAATGATTTGTCTGTATCTAAATGATATAGCGTGATAGCTCCGGGCGCACGCTTTTAATTCAATATACTAGGGTACTCTGAGTCCATTCCCCGTTCCAGGACCAATGAAATTGTTAAGACATCGCGAGGAAACCTGCATATTTTCCAAAATAATAATTTTAAAAAATATGCCGAATATATGTGAAGTCCGCCAAACCGCAGTGGGGTCGCGTGGACTACGTCGTAAAACCTCTGGAACCCTCAGAGGAGGTTTTAACTTTACTACACATTACTTAAGAATAAAAAAGAGGACTGAAATAAAGAGTTTATGTGTTGCTTTTCCCAGGCGTGGTATAGACTCAATGAACACTCGAGCGGTGTGGGTTGGCTATGTGTCAAAGTGTATGGTGCTAAAGGTCTGGCGGCGGCAGACTTGGGTGGGAAATCCGATCCGTTCTGCGTTCTAGAGCTTGGGAATGCGAGGCTTCAAACGCACACGGAATACAAGACGCTGACGCCCAACTGGATGAAGATATTCACATTGTAAGTGTAAATGTACAATCACGCGAAATATTAACATAAACTTTACTTTTTGTTTTCATGTTAATACATTTTAATGTGAAGTATTCTCACAGTAATGGTAGTGACGCTGTGCAAAACAGTCTTCGCTGTTGTACGAATAGACAGGTCCGTCCTGGTAAGTACAACGACCACAAAGAAGACAAAATTGTAAAGATTAACGTAGGTTTAGTATCTGAACTCTCGTCCTAAACGGCTGGACCGATAATAATGAAAATTTTGTATGTCTTCAGGTCGATTCGAGAATGGTTTAGATTCACAATTCTGTTTTTTTTGCGTTGTTGTCGGATTTAAGTCGTGTGTACAGGACAACGTCTTTTGGGTCTGCTTGTATAATATATATGTTTCGTACATATGTTAAATTAGGCAATCCGCGGTGAAGTCTCTGATCTAATACCCTCTGTACAGAGGAAACCTTTGTCCAACAGTGACATATATAGGGTGTTACTTTACTTTACGTTATTGAAACAAATTAAACGAAAAATAGATAAGATGAACACTTGCTTAACAATTCCAGCACAGTCAAAGACATCACTTCTGTATTAGAGGTGACAGTATATGATGAAGATCACGATCACAAAGTAGAGTTCCTAGGCAAGCTTGCTGTACCCCTATTAAATATACGGAACGGAGAAAAGAGATGGTTCGCCTTGAAAGATAAAAAGATGAGAGCAAGAGCAAAAGGGAATTATCCTCAGATACTGTTGGAAATGATGGTGATATGGAATCCGGTAAGTTACTAAAAATAAAGCCTTTCTTTAGGGCAAATGTCAAATGAGCAGCTGATGCGGCTGAAATGAACTGATTGTTTGGACACCCACAACATCTTCCAATTATGTTTTGCTTACCTTTCGCTGATATAAACAGTTCCTACTAAACACCAGTCTTCTCCTACCACAGTAAACTCATTTCAATTGTAACTACGCCATTTGAAAACGGCAGAATAGAAATCATAGTTTACTGTGATAGGGCCACCTCGACCTTAAAGAAGACCGGCTCGGAATTATTATACTACTGAGTTTCGTCTGGTGATTGAGGTAAGGGCTGCTTTTTTAAAAGGTTGACATTTGCTTTTCCAGCTTTTATAGGCGTCTATGGGCCTTGGTCATCCTTTATTCGCTTCTCTTTTTCTATAGTGGTTTTATTCATATGAAAGTATGTGCCAATTTGAAAGTAAAGTTTTAAAGATTACATTGTGCCTATCTGTTTTAGCTGAAGGCAGCCATAAGAGTGATCAATCCGAAGGAGCCAAAGTACATGCATCAAGAGTCGAAGTTCAAGAGACAGCTGTTTATTCGCAACGTAATGAGACTGAAAGCGATTATAATGTGGTTCATTGAGGTCGGCAAAATACTGCAGTGAGTAAACGTTCTTATTATGAAAATACTCAGCAATTCAAGGACATATATTATCTATACAATATGGTTCTGTAATATGGCTTTCAAAGAATTTATATTTGTTATGTTGCTTATTCGAAAAACAAATAAAAACAATCCAGTATTATACAAGCATGTACGGCTATTGTTCCTTTACATACTACTCAATCTCGAGTAGCTAGTTTTTAACTCTTTAAGTTAAAAATGTTAGAATCCTATCTCATATCAAACACGTCTGTTATGGCTTACTAAAACGCTAAAAATACCTATATATTAAAGAGCCGACCCTGCCTTTTGCGCCAGAGCGTGTGGGTTCAATCCCCAATACTAGAAAAATATTGTGTGATAGACATAGTGTTTTTCCGGTGTCTAGTATTTATTAGAATACTTATGTATTTATTTACAAAAGAAAACTATGTTTAAGTATGTTTATCAGTTATCTAGTACCAATAGTACAAGCGAGGCTTAGTTTGGGACTAGAAAACGTTGTGCAGAAATGTGTCATGAAATATGTTGATTTATATTATTTATTTACTTCTAAAGCTCTACTTTGTTATGAGAAAATAGAATGCTCAAGTTCCACAATGAGAAAGTCAAGTCCTTATTGCCAATTTTCGTTGCTTTTTTCCAGAGACTGCTTCGAATGGGAATCTAGGCTGCTGTCTTTCATCGGCCTCTTGGCGTGGCTGGCGTTTTGCTATTACTATCAGATGTGGATGTTGCCGTTTCTACTCCTGGTGTTTTTCTCTAGAAATTGGCTCATCTATAGGCTAACGGGTAGGTGTTCTCTTATGTAATTTCTCCTATTTTCCTACCGGCGACCAATCAGCCTGTAGTTCAACAACTATCCATTTAATTTGTTTAATAAGCGGTATATTTTATAGTTTTTAGTTCAATATTAAACTTCATCTTTTTAACATGTAATCTTTCTTTGATACATCATCGGTGCATTCAGGAAAAGTGTATTTGTTTGCTTTAGGCGTCCATACCCAAAGGGTAAAACGGGACCCTATTAGTAAGACTCCGCTGTCTGTCTGTCAGTCTGTTATACAGTTAAAATTTCACACATGATGTATTTCTGTTGCCGCATCAACAAATACTAAGAACAGACTAAAATATTTAAGCTGGGCTCCTATTCATCAGACGTGATTTTGCCGTTTTTATAGATAATCTGCGGAACCCTTCGCGCGCGAATCCGACTCACACTTGTTATTTAGTACTTTTTTGAAATGTAAGAAATCTGAATGCTTACATTAAATGCTAATGAGGAAGTCCTCGTGTCTGGTCATTACAATGTCTTCTTATCAAGATACTTTAGTGCGAAATCAACGCAAAGAAATATTATTAGAATGGACAATGTTCAAGCATTTTATTGTGTTTAAATGTAAGTTTACATATTTATAGCTTTAGGTGAGTTTATCGCCCATACCCTTTAACTACTAAGCTAAACGGTTGATTGCCACACCGACAAAAACTTAAATTGCGAAAAAACAATGTAGATAAAATGCATTGAGATTTTCGTCGGTGGGGCAATCAGATATTTAGCTTAGTGGTTAAAGCGTCTGGGTGCAAATCCGGCCCTTCGATTCCCCGCAGCGGCGATAAACTTTTCATCCATTATTTCAAAAATTATTTTTTTGTATTTAATTAAATTTGGAATTTCTAATATGTCGAATATTTAGCAGCATTCAATATTATGCTGTTCATTGCTATAAAAAGCAAAAATATTTATTATTAATATGGTCAGTTTAAAATCTTAAACAGATGTTACGTAAAATGATTAATATGTTATGACTACTAGCCAGTGTTAAAAATTTTAGAGCGTACTCACTAGTGACTAGGAAGGATTTTTATTTTCGCTTTACAATTAAGGAATATCTCGCTCTAGATGAACTTGTTTAAGGTTAGAGATAAGGTGATGATATCTTTCATTCTACTTACAATCCCAAATTAAAAATAATTCAGTATTAAACAGTGACATTTATTTTAAAAATCGAATGTTCATTTGTTTTTTCGCCGTTCCTTGATATCGTTGATTCTGTGCCGTGAAAAAAAATTATATTGCGCATTATAGCAATAGCAATTGAACGCTCAGTGCTTTTTGGTTTAATTACTTTTTATCTGAAATTTTGCCCACGAAATTCGATAACTGTTAATTTAAAGTCATGGTGGAAGTTTCATGTCAAAACGATAATATTCAGGCTAACAATTTGTTACTTATTTTTTTCAAACGCCTTAATTTTAATGTGTAATTTTCTTTTCATAGTTCGTATAAAGTTTTTCCGAAGTAACCCATGGGCGTACCTCGCAAACATTTTCGGTTTTAGTAAGTTTTTGTTTGTGTTCGTGCTCCTTGATGTTGTGTGATTTTTTTTATAAAATTAACTGTAATGTTTCCAGCTCCTAAAATATGTAAAATTCATACTAACATATTTTAGTTACATTAATTACATAATCCAAATTTTTGGAAACTGGCAGCACAGATGTCAAGAAAAAATTTATAACAATTTGTATTATAAAATGATTTTTTTATAAAAATTGAAACATGAAGCAGATGTATTTATTTAATCTATGTTCTTAAGTACGAAAACTTCTTTTAAGATGTATAAGGATGGCAATTACTTACACACCTGTAACCTTAACACTTAAATGTACGTTTCATCGGCTTGTTTTGGCTGATGACGTACCTCGTTGCCGTACAACATGCACAAATGTAAGTTCTTAGATTTTAAAGTAATAAAAAAATTAAATTCTTCTTTGTGCAAGCCATTGAGCTCCAAACGCGCGAATCAAATCGCAAGTTCAATATCCTAACTATTGGGCCATTACAACCTTATGTGTGATGCTTATGCCTGGTTTCTGAAACACTGATCATCGTAGAAGTTAACTAATCAGCTGTCAAATGTCATTTAAGTTGCCAAAAAGATGGTTAAACTCTTTGAATTGATCATTCTGATCATTAAGATCATTCTGATCAATTCAGAGAGTTGAACCAACATTTTGGCAACTCAAATGACATTTGAAAAGTCATTTGACAGCTGATTAGTGTTTATGACACCGGGGGCGTGAGTGTTGCATTAATTGTGATTTAGTGATACTAATAATATGAAATGTGCAGCTTGTGGCTTCTCTAACAGAAATTAACTGTAATTAGCAGGAAAAGGCCGAGTTACTTAGTGTTTTGGTCTTAAATTGGGAGAATTACGTAATCTACGTAGTAACCGTTTGTAGGGTTCCGTACCCAAAGGATGAAACGGGACTCTATTACGAAGACTCCGCTTTCTGTCTGTTTGTCTGTACGTCTGTCACCATGCTGTATCTCATGAACCGTGATAGTTAGATAATTGAAATTTTCACAGATTATTTCTTTTATCCGCTGTAACAGCAAATACTAAAAACAATAAAAATATTTAAGTGGGGCTCACATACAACAGATATGATTTTTTTTTGGCTGTTTTTATAGATAATCGTACGGAACCCTTTGTGGGTGAGCCCAACTCGCACTTATTTCGAAATATGCATTCCTATAAAAACATTAAGTTATCTGTTCATAAAAACATTAAGTATCTGCTGTTGACTGGCATTCACTATGAACAATGGTTCATAGTGAATGCCAGTCAACAGCCTAGTATTACGGATGCCCACGAACACAGATAAATAACAGCGGCGTCTTCTGGGTAACCGAATGAGCTAAGTGCCAAGCACCCAGAAGACTCATATTCGAATCCTAGAAACGTCAAAAATTTTTGGAAAGTTTATTTAGTAACCCCATCTTTAAGTTTCATCTTAAGTGCAGAGTAGCACCAAAAAATTTATTAAAAAAATCGCAAAACTGAAAATGGACTAGAAATATTATTTTATTTTATTAACCAACCCATCTTCGTTATGCTTTAATATGTGTAATGCTGCAATGTTGTGAAAATAAAATATTCAAGTGAGTCATTACTATTTACAGGAGGTAACCCGTTATTGACACCTGTTGATGATGATGATCTACTAGCCGAGGAAGATGACGAGGAAGAGATGGATAAGGTAACCGAATTTTCCAATATATCTCCCCAGTTGACACTTTCCTGTTCTCCATACAACCAAAATTATAATACTGAAAATCCGACGTAATATTTTGTTACATTATTGAATTCATTTATTTAAATCCGCGTTTACTTACATTCCGTTAAACATTTATAGTTTATTGTAATCACATCACGTGGAAGAAATTTGAAAATCGTTCGCAAGAATGAAAAAAATCGATAAAAGTATTTAAGTCTCAATGTGGTTGCACGTTTATAGTATTTATAGCTTATTATTTATAGTATGTTTCAGTTTTTGAGAAAACTTATTCTAATTTGTCACGTATTTTAGACACATGTTGCAGAAACAAACACTTGCAATTCGAAACATATATTTTGTTTAAATAAGGTTTTTATAATAATAAACAGATGTCCCGTACGTAAAGTTTTTATGATCTGAAAATAATTTTAAAAAAATGCCATATCTGAATGTCTGATCATTTAAAACACCTTACAAACATTGTGTAATGTCTTTATTAATTACTCGTTATTACTTTTGTTTCTATATACAACAGGAAGAGAAGAAATCGCTAAAAGAGAGATTGCAAGCAATACAAGAAGTCACTCAGACAGTGCAAAATGCGATTGGCTACGTGGCTTCCGTTGGTGAAGCAGTTAAAAAGTGAGGTTTTAACTAAATTTTTCTTTTGTGAACACAAAAACAACCTTTAAATTTTTTTTAAATAACAGTCGTTTATTATTTTCAAGTATCACTTCTGAGGCGGCGATTTGGTAATTCGACGTAAATGATAGGGCCACGCAACATCCTGTTGCAGAAATGGGCAGACTTGTCCGGGGAAGTACAGCGGCCTCACATAAAACCAACATAATTAACTATGGTAGGGCCACGCAACAGTCTTTTCTGTTGCGCGAATGGGCAGGTCCATCCGGGTAAGTGCCACGACCTCACAGATGACCGGCGTGAAGTGGTAGTTTTATAATTTAGTTTCCGTAGCCCACTTTATTAAAAGGTGGCAACGCATCTGATTCCCTACTGGTGTTGCAAATGTCAACCGCTAGCTCGTTTGCCACTTCGTAACAGTAGTAGTATCGCGTTTTCCTGTTCTATTGTTTTTCCTTAATTTAAAAGTTGTCTTCCCGTAATAAATATAATGGTTCGTGTTTAATCATGTATTTTTTCCTTTCAGTTTGATGAATTTTACGGTGCCATACTTAAGTTATTTAGCAATATTGATGCTGTTCGGGGCGATGTTAGTTTTATATGTGATACCTTTGCGATATCTATTAATGGCTTGGGGTAAGTATAATATCGTCCGAATATTCTGTAATAAACATCAAAATATGTAAAAAAAATATATGCCTGAAATTTAAAAAAAAATACATTTCGTAGGTGTTAATAAATTCACAAGAAAAATACTACGACCTCACACGATACCCAATAACGAAGTGTTAGACTTACTGTCCCGAGTACCAGATGACGAGATATTGGTAAGTTTTTCCGACCCTGTTTTAATTTTTTTTTATTTTCGACCAAAAAGCACAGGTATCTACAATCGAAGGTAGACGAACGGATATCCACATCTAAATTAAAAAAATGGTAAGTTCTGATCTTGAAATATTAGTTTATTCTAGTTCAAATAGTCCATATTTACATTGCGATGATTACGTTATATTATCAAATCGCAATTTAAATCGAACATTTTTACCATATTAACAAACGAGCTCACGATATACTCGAATATTAATTTGGAGACAGAAATATCTATATATTCATATTTTTATATCTTTCTTGCAACACTACCGCACGGTTTCTGAAACACTGATCAGCGTAGATGTTAACTAACGACATTCTGATCAGTAAGAAGATCATTCTGGTCAATTCAAAGAGTTTAACCATCATTTGAGTTGCCAAATGAAATTTTAAAAACCATTTGACAGCTGATTACTTAACATCTACGATGAAACCGGGCGTAAGCATTTTATTGATTCAAATTCATTGCATTCTTTTGGCGTGTTAGGTATGATGAGAGTAAAATTTTCGATGCGCGTCACGAAAAACCTACACCCTGAATTTAGCTAGACATCTACGTATGTTTGCGTGAGAACTGACAACTGTATTAACGATATTTATTTTGTGATATTTAAATAAACTTTGTTTAACTAGTTAATGCGTTATAATAAAACTTTCAATGTATTAAATACCTTTTTTCTATCGTTAGTGTCGTTTTTTCTACAAACGTAGAATAAGGCGAAAGATTAAATTTTTGAAAAAAAAAAATTATCTTCTCACGCCAAAGAAGTATAACTTCTAACGCGTGTACAAAGGCACACACACACTTTTTTATATTTATTTTATGACCTCAATTATTTCCAGCTGGACTGCAGAGAACTAAAACCACACCCTCCGAACGAGGCCCGGAGAGACGCAAGGAAAAAGCACAAAGTGACGTAACACATGAACACTGTAATGCAATTATAATATCAATAAAATAATTTATTGTACATAAAAAATGTCGAGACATGAAATTTGATACGAAAATTGAACATTTGGCGAAGATTCCTTGAAGTATAAGAACGTTCAAGAAAAATTACCCCAGAAAACAATGTAGAGAAGATTCTACTTAACAAGTTCGGAACACATTAAATTTTTTTATTTGAAATATCACACAAATTCAACAGGTTTAGTGGTTAAGTTCGAAACAAATATTAAAGCAAATTCTGATATATAAAAATGTTATATAATATCATGGTTAATATGTTACATTTGACTAATTGTAATAATTACAATTACTTCTGAAATTATTTCTTGATTGAAATTATTGTATGTAATCGTTTAAATAATTTTTAGGGTCAATGGAGAGAGAACAAAATTAAAAAGTGATAAATTATATAAGCTGCACAGATAATAAATATCGGTAAAAACCAATTAAATAACGATCTGATAATTAGTTCAACGTCGTAAACTGTATCTCACAAACTTTGTATTAGACCACTTTTGTTACTTAGATAATGACAGCCAAATCGTCCATGTATAATATACCATTAATAGGTAAGAAAAAAGGCTAACTATGGAACATTACATTTTTTTTTTAGAAAATAGTTTATAGAATACGATAAGGTATATCTCTAATTAAACTATATTATTGTTTCAAAACAAAAAATTACAAATGACATGATTATTAAATAACAATCAATTTCGCAATTATTTTGACTGCAATAAAAAGTATATGACAGAAAAGAGAATCTAATATACCTATTGCGTAAAATACTTCTCAACTCCATATTATCTATAGGTATTAATATTTGAAAGTCACGTTTTAATATATCACGTTAATTTTTTTCTAAATTTTCACATTTCTATACAAGCTTAGGAAATAAATAATTGTTAGTTAAATACCTATTTTATGACCGTTAAAGTATCGACTGTGATTTTTTAAAGATCTGTTAATACATTAAGTGATATTGTTTTTAAAACACAAAATAACATTACAGAATTGCCTTATCCCACTTGGATAAATGTTTTTAAGATGCATAGAGACCATGAAAATAAGGTATTAGTTTCCTTAAATTTTAACGTGTTCGTTATGACTCCCTGTTACACATTGTCCTCGGAAAATGCTAAATAACAAGAACCTGTTTTCAATAAATAAGATTTATTGTTTTTAACGAATACAAAAAAAAATTAAGCGTGAATAAGGCATTTCTCGAATATATTTCAATGAGTGTTATAAATTATCACACCAAATTACTAGGTGAAGATAGACGATAGTCAATATTAATAATTTAACAATTCTTCCAATACCTTCTAAATTTATTGTATTTTTTTGTATTATATTGATTAGTTAGTATTTGCTAGTTCTACAAAACTAATCAAAGTTCTATGAACGGGCTTGTAAGCCATATCGTAAGACGTTTATATAAGCACAATTCCCAAATATAAGCAACGTTGCATTTATTTCGAAACGTATTTAAATATAGCTAGAATTTTTGAAATTTTTGAATAGTATCGAAATTTAAAATTGTTGTACAATTGCTTACTTTTGAATAAATATTTTATGCATAAACGTTGAACCGTTATTTTAACTACAATTACGAACTAGAAAATTTCTGAAGCTAAAATTAATCACAGATGTCCAACATTCATCAATGTTATTCATCATTTTATTTAAAAAGAACGATATATTATATTACCCTCTAACCATTATAATTATTGACGGTCATATCAGTTTACCACTTAAATTCTGAAAATACACCCTGCATTGTATTTACGAGTATATACCTACAAATATAGGGTTCTAGTCGCGTCATAAGTTCTGTAACCGTTGTGGAGCCACAGACCAGGCCCGACGCTGGGGGCTGGGAGGCTCATTAGCAATGGCTCTCCTAGCTCTCCCCATGGCCCCGGTCAGCGAACTCAGGAGAGTTCGTTGGCCGTGAAAATGGGACTGAATGTTCCAGTGCGCCTTACCTGAAGGAGAGGGGAGTTGTTCCCCGGGATGGGGCTGCTAAGGCAGCCAGCGCTGGCAGGGTCACGGAAACACTTCCGTGACCCTGCCACATTTCGCACAGGCGTTACCGTTCCCGTGACCCTGCTGATTTGCGCCTAGGTGGAACATCGTAGGGATTTTAGTCAGTGCGAGTCCGATATAACCCGCTCTTGCCCCGGTTAGGCGGGTATGCGTAGGAATTTCCCCCACCAAAAAAAAATAAAGGACACCTAATAGACTGTACACTTCAGTGTCTGGTATAAATTTCAACTTGCTTGGTACACCTGTTCCTGAGAAAATCGGAGATAACACACGGGCAGACGGACAATAGCGTGATCTTATAAGGGTTCCTTTGTTTACCTTTTGAGGTACGGAACCCTAAAACGATGAAAAGACATTATAAAAAAGCAGTAACCTTTTAACCACCCAAGAGGAGAATTTTAATAAAGAAGAATTATAAATAATAAACTTACCAACATAACTTACCAGACGTCCAACGCCTCAGTCTGTCCTGTGACCATGAAAGTGTGGCGTTCGCAACCGTCTGTGAGGCTTTATATTTGCAATGTGGTTTCGCTTTTATATAGAATCAGATTTTTTTTTATTCGATGTGTAACCTTCATGACAGGACGCTTTCCCTGAGAAAACTACCTTAGGACTTTTAAACTTCAATGACTGGCAGACGCCTGTTAAATTGAGTGAAAACGTGTTATAATACAATTGATACCGATAGTTGCATTATGACTCAGTGCCTATCTTATATATGACCTATCTTTCAATAGACGACGTGCCTACTTCATACGCCACGCTCTGAACATTATTACCCTCAAATAGTGGGAGAGGGAACCTCAGCGTCGCATACCGTCACCAACACGATGCTGACTACCTTACCTCACGAGAACCCTAGTGGGCGTTCCCCAAAAGGCCAAAGGCGCTGTAAAGGGTTCGAAACGTCGGACAAACATAGTTTAATTTAATTTTGACTTAAGTATATCCAATTTTTATAAGACATTTTATAGCTTTTAATTTAGTCTTAAATTATTATTTTTGGTTGACGTATTGTTAATGAGTACCTATATTGAGCTGTGATAGCTCAGTGTCCGGCCGCTCACCTTTAATGCAAGCTACTGGAGCAATCAGAGTGCGATCCCCCGTGCCGGCACCAATGAAATTGTTAATTTTAAGTGCTGAATTATCACATGCTCAGCGATGAAGGAAAACATTGTGATGAGGCCTTTGCCGAGCTGTGGGACATGTATAGGCTGATAATTTACTTTTTTATTGTGATTATTATCCTTTATTTAAATTATTAATTCTAGGCTAACATTGGTACGCTCTCGCTACGCAGCAAAAACGTGTTGAGCCTCAAAATTTACCACGGTTGTAACAAAAATGTCGATAAATTTTAAAGTGTGCATGTTACGTTCGCGACAGCATCGAATAACAATACTCGCTTTTTATTTTTCTTTGTATAGGTTTAAAACGAACGTCAGTAGTCACAATATAGTCACAAATCATAATATATCGTACGTCATTTACAAAATGAACTCCAAAATCCTGAAATTAAGGTGGACTTTTCAATTAATGGCATTTCACATTTAGGTTTAAATAATGTAAGTGTTGAATGTTAATAAAAAGAAAATCTATAAACAAAAAAAAACAATGAATGTTAATTGCAGCTAAGATTTTTGTAGTTCAAAATACGACACAAGTATTACTGTGTGAGTTTGCCGACAGCGGAATCGGTACCGATACTAGCAACCTTGAGCTACATTAATGTAATGGAATATTCCGTTTAACATTGTTGTAATAATGTTGTCTAAAATGCATTTATTATAGAATTAATTTAGATTCAGATAAATATTTCTGTTTTGAAGATGCTATTTATGACAAAACAAGACATAAAATGCTTTGAAACACGTACGGAACCAACGCAATTAGGGAAATAAATCATTAAAAATAACTTAAAAACATTTTAACATTTATATTTAAAATGGTAGTAAAATATTTTGTTAATGGTAGCCCTGTTAAGAATTCCGTCCGCCATTATAACATTTAAAACCTACTGTCATTTCAACTTCATTGTCTGTCAATGAACAGTTGCTGAGTGTTGGCGGTCGCCGTATCTTTAAAATTTATTATTTAAAGTAATTAACCATAAAAATGAGTATCAAGCTGCAAGAGTACAAGGACACTATAGAAAAAAACCTCAGGGACAAAAGCAAACCATGGACTAAGTACTTCGATATAGCCGAAGCGAAAACCGGCGTAAGCAGGGTATATATATTCGTAGGTGAGTTCCGTCTTCCATAAAGTTTATTTATAACCTTAGCTGTACATTTGACGTCTGTTTTTTGTCGACAGGAATCGTCGCATTCACCGGTTTATATTTAGTATTCGGATTCGGGGCCGAGCTGATATGCAATTCTATTGGATTCGTTTATCCAGCGTACATGTCAATGAAAGCCCTTGAGTCGCCGCAGAAAGACGACGACACCAAGTGGTTGACGTATTGGGTTGTCTTTGCGTGTTTCTCGGTTGTCGAATACTTTTCAGACTTTATTGTCGGCTGGTTTCCGCTTTACTGGCTAATAAAGGTTAGTTGTGAATCAGTTCCATATGTTCGCCATTTTGGTTATGTACATTATACATTTTTCTGTTTAAATATTAAAATATCAAATATAATTGCATATACTCATACTTTGAATACAAATTCAATCTATTAGGCCATGGGCCGATGTGGAAGTTTAAAATTTAACACGTTTGGTACTAATTAAAAACCCTACTTTCAATACAAATGATTTTGTACTATAAGATATATTTCAAAAGTTATCACCTTTTCATCCTATTACTTTTTTTTTTTTCACTTACACATAATGTTGAGCAGATCTTATCTTTGAAGATATGTTATCTAACAAGGGATCATATTGTCAAAAAATTTAAATATGGAGTATGATGAAACATTGAAAACATGTCTTCCTCCAATACATATATTTCAAATTACAATTCCATAATTGTACTATGTAAATATTGACAAAAGATTATTCCATTTTACCTAGAGTTTTAATTGTCATCATTAAGATTGTGAAGTTTAATTAAGTCTGTGTTCTAAAATAAGAATAGAACAGACAAATTATGACAGTAACTAAATTATCACATTTAATTGTACCATTAGTTACTAGTACAAGTATTGAGCAATAATCAATCAACCATACAAATTTACAGAAATATGAGTATTGTGTTGTTCATACTATGGTTCTACATTACTAATTATGTAAAACCTTATAAGATGGTTTGATCATTATCAGTTTATGTTTTACTTATACCTAATTATTTTCTATAGAAGGTACAAATTCACAAAGAGAATGTTATAATTCTAACATACTCATGTCACAAGGACACAATGTGTTGATAACAACTCATTAGACTTAACTACATTTTAATCATTACATTGAATCATACAGTTTATTATGTCCAACCTGCTTAATGGAAAGAAACATTATGTTTTATTCCACAATTCTACTAGAAGTCAAATAGAATGTTAACATGGAAAAAAATTCTTAATGTCAAAGACTTGACCATAAAAAGCTTATAAATATTATTTTTGCCTTTTTTATTCTGTCACTGTATTAGAGCCAAACAAAAGTTTTTGCTGTTTCACATGCTTGTTTAGGGATATACCACTATTAGTACTATACTTTTTCCTTTCTTCTGATGAATGAGGTATATGGGCCCATTTTCTTAAAGGTTGTCATAACCGGAGCAAATATTTAGATGATAATGGGCACCCTGCTTGCTTGACCTTAATTTTTGACTTAGCCCCGCTTTTTACTATTATAAACTTCTTATTTTTACAGTGCATCTTCATCATTTGGTGCTACTTGCCAACAGACTTCAACGGTTCATTGATCATTTACAACCGCATCATTCGCCCATATTACCAGAAGCATCATACCAGGATTGATAATTTGGCCAACTCTGGTAGGTGAAAATATTCTTATTATCAACTCTAACAGAAAACCACTTCAGTGGTGATTCTTTTATCATTAATGACAGAGAAACATCTCTGGATTAAAACAATTGCAACATTAGAGAACATTATGCAATAAATTTGGCTTCTTAAAGAAATTTTTATTACTTCTTTTCTCAAGATAAATTTTCATTTGCATGTTCACCTCTCCAGGTTTTAAGGACTTATTGGTGTGAGTTATTATCGTGGGAAACAATACTAAGGGTTTAAAACTGAGGGTTGAGTTTTTCCAGTGTTAAAGGTTGTTGGTTAAGTTCTTTTTGTGGCATAATAAGTGTTTAAATTTTTTAAAAAGCATAGACAAATGGATACGCAATTTTCAGAGCAAAATTATATTATTGGAGTAATTAATTAGGATAAATCAATTTTTTTTATCATACAATGAGTTTTTGTGTAACAAATTCATTGTTGTTTCACATTTACGTTTTTCTAGACCCATTGAAAAAGATCATAAAGGATGCTAACAAGCACATTGATAAAACTCTTAAAGCTTTCAACAAAAAGCTTGATGAGCTACACAACGATTAAACATTTTCTGCGTATTAAAATGCTACAGGTATTGTTGATACAGAATTTTGCGCCTTTGCATGGGGGAGGGTACTTGTATTTACAAGTACTGGCGGTAGAAACTGGATACAAAAAGCTAAAAATAAAAGAATTAAGATAAATAAGTATTTACAAACTAGAAACAACTATTTAAAAACTAGTTATGGAGAGTTTTTAGCAAATAAAAGAGTTGGATGATTTTTCATGGATCATATCATCAGATCTTACAAATTATTATGCATTGATGAGAAATAAGTGTAAATTATCTCTCCATATAAGATATAATTGTTTTATTGGAGTTTTCTACCGCTTTACTTGATACCTTTGCTTGCTTAAACAAAATAGTCTTCCTCATATCATGCTATGCACTTGTAAAAAAAACTATTACTATTACACATATTTATTACACAAGTTTAGTAAACCAATTTAACTTCAGCTGGCGAGGAACTATCAATTGTCGCCTTTTTTCTTTGAAGGTTACGTATCCTGTTAGAATTGGTTTTTTTTTTGTTTTTCTTCTCTGAGAAAATTACTTTTATATTCTTTTATTTCTGACAAAATTCTTTTTCTACTTATGTTTCTCTATTTTATTTTTATTTGGACAGAACAATCAAAATTTCAGCCAGTAAATGTCCATCGGTTGGTGCAAGATGTGAATAGAAGATTAAATTCTTCCATGAGACATTTGAGTTCATAATCTTGCATTGTATGTTTCCTTAGGTTTATAATTTAGCTTAGAGTAGTTCCATTTTAATATTTCTATAGCATATCTTTGAGTATATCCATGTTGTAGATGTCTTTTTTTTTTTTACTTATATAATGTCCGTTCACTGCACAAATATAACAAAGACTTTTTTTGTTTTGTGAACTTGTTATTGCTACAGACTGATATTACATGATGTTTTAGACAAGCATTTACTATCCATTATGCTTAATCAGTATTATATTTTAGATAATATATTCATGGGACATAGAATTTATGATAGTTTTGTGTTTGATTTTGTATTTTTTTTTTTGTTTTAACACATAGTCATGTTTTAGGAAAACAAGATTAGTGCACATACATATATACACACTACTTCCACTGATATGTAAGTAAAACCAGACCAATGAATGGGAAGCTTTCATTGTTTGACCTTAAAACATAAAAAGTTACTCATCGAGTTTCACCTTTAACCGAAAAGCTTATGGAAATTTCAAGTTAAATAACCATATTATGTGTAAGGTTTAGTAAACATTGTGTAACAGGTAAGTTAATCAGAGACTGGGATGAGTCACTTTTTATCTAAACACACAACAACCATTTATCATAATGTAAACTGTGGTTCATATGTGATCAATTAAAATATTAATTATTCGGGCAGGATATATCATTACTTCTTTTTTGATTTGTACTGTGTGTACTCTATTATATTCATAATTTCTTGTATTTACGCGATTACATATTACCAATTAATAAAATTAAAAATAAAAGTAATAATATAAAATCCGTAAAGATTCAGATCTGTTTATTTTTAGTTTTATTTCTCGACATTTCGAGCCCTCTATCGTTCATGGTCACTGGAGAGACTATGGCGATAACATATAAACATCATTGTTAGCCCGGGCTTCCGCCAATTTTTGATTATTTTTATTTATTTTGTATTTATATATAAATGATGAAAGTTTATACATTTTCTATTTTTATCCGCCAAACAAATTACTGATTTATTGTAATTAGTACAGTAATTTATGTTTGAATACATTGTCTGTATTATTTAGACATTTACAATGAACAACAATCATTTTATTTGAATGTTGTTTGTTACAAATAATTTATCGGATATTGTGGCTATTCCTAATACAGCCGCTGGTTGTAACAAGAGCTATTAACAATGTTAAAGACATTGCATGTATTTTCTAATTCTAGTTGAGTCAAGAAAAACATTTTTTTGTTTGCATAAACTTCCTGTGAATAATATAAATTCTTCCTATTTAGTACCGTATTATAGTAATTGAGACTAGCACCATAATCCATTCATACAATAGCTGTTTCTTGAAATTTTAATATAATTTTTTTTTTTTTTCCATTGTATACTTATATTTATTACAATAGAATGATTTATTTCATTGATTTGTTTTTAGTCTGTTTGTGGTAATTGTTTTTTTTTTATGTTACCTTTCATCCGAGTCATTATTTTCTTTGCACCAACTATGGACCCATGGTCATTCAATCTTCTCATAATGAATTGTAATTATTTCCTGCCAGATATTTAAAAGTTAAGCTGTATTATTCTATCTGTGCATTTCTATTGTTTTCATTAAATGCATGTTTCGTTTCATGAATGGTTGTTGCAATTTTTAGCATTGTTAACATTGTTTTAAAAAACTATCAAAGCAGTTGCTTTAGCTTTATTACCTATAAGTATGGTACTTGTGGAATTGTAACAAATATGTACAGATTTAAATAATTATATAGTATGCTTGTTAAAATTGTCTTGAGGTGTCCATTGAGAAAATTACTTCTCTTTAAATAATTATAACTAATTAATAGTCAAGTAGCCTTGATAATTCAGTGTTCTTAAAACTCAGACAACCCAAATTTAAATCTTGTCATCAGTGAAAACATTGTGGCAATTACACAATGCTTAATATTCCTACCCTTGAATCCGGAGAAGTTTAAAAAAAATCCCAAGATGTCTTTCATGCACACAATTATAATAATATTGTGTAATAATAATTTACTTCAGTCTATCTGTGACTCACTTTAATGTCATAATTATCATCATCATTGAATTAATCAATTTAATCAAATATATAATACATTGTATCTATTGTAGCCATTTAATGTTACTTTTACTTTTCAGCCGGTCGCTTAGTAGCTGATGCAGTTGGGAAGAACAATTAATAACTCTATGAATGTTGGGAAGCAAAAGTACAAAGCCTGTTTGCACCCATTTAAAAATATATGAGCTTTCTGCCACTATATGTAATTGGCCTAAGCCAACATACGGATAATGAAAAAGTTTTTGACCTTTTTTGGGCTTGACAAATTTGTATGTTTACATATTTTTCTTCATGCCAATGTCCCAATTATTGTCTGTTTTGAATAATCAGTTTTGCTTCTTTTTTTTTTTCACAACTAATTGTTCTTGGATAATAGTTATCAAAATTATTAAATTATGTTTGGAACAGACCAAGCACTGGGGCCATTCCCCAGTTCGACTGAAAACTTTAATTAACAAGTATTTTATGAAGCTTTGTTAATTATGCCAACCTTATCAATGCACTTTATTTTTTTATGTTTAATTAATTTTATGTGACAGCTTTGTGTAAATCATTGTTGGTGTAGATTTAATTTAATGACGTAGTTTGAAATTTTAGTCTCTTTTTTTTCCTTTTTCTTTTAAATAAGATCTTAAATGGCATCAAATTGTCTATAGATATTTAAGTGGATTATGGATAGATTCTATTATTTTCCATATATTAAGATTTCTTCATAGAGCAATGAATTTTTTGTTTTTGATTTCTTATTTTTCCAAACCATTTGCTCAAGGTGTTTGTATATTCCAATATATAAATACTTATTTCTGTCAAAAGACATTGTTTATGTACCTATGTTATTATTTTAAATGATTATTTCCCTCTGTCAAATTTAAGCTTATGCTATGATGAGTGTTGCTATTTTTGAAATTTAAATGAAGCATTTATTGTATGAAATAATAAGTGTTGTTGTTTTGGACCCAAACTAAGAAGGCAGTTATAGGCTATGAAATATATAATATTGCCTATTGTTAAAATCATGTAAATCTTCTTTAAATTGCTTAAGAAACATGTTAGCGTGCCTTTGAGTGTTTTAGCAGCAATTTTTGTATTCACTTGAGGAATTAGCATTAACACTTTTTCACGAAATAAAGGATTCATTGTAACACGCGTTTTATTGGTATCGTTGTTATTTATGTTTAAAACAGTCAAGTATAGAATTTTTAGCTGCGATTAGGGGATACCCGGTGCTTCAAACATTACAATAGTCTACTTAACAAAGCCAATAAATGTTCCAATGCTTGGTAATGACCTCTACAGATGGTTTCAGGGCATAGTCCACCCTGCGATCCTCTTGTGGATTTTCAAATCAAATCATTTATTCATCGAAATAAGAAACGGAGGATTTTTTTAAGTATTACCACCGTTAGGTAATAAGGTTCCTCTAACCGAGAAGAAACAGCCGAAATAAATTCAGTAGGTGTCCTCTTTGACATATTTTTAAAAACCACTTGCCAGGGTTTGATTCATTTCCAGGAGTTACTATCATTTTTTCATTTATATTATAATAACCTTTTTTTAAAAAGATTCTCTTTAATATCTTAAAACTGTTAATATGCTTTGTGCATTAACTGGAATTTTATTGTAGAAGCATACTCACATATCTTCAAAATTTTGTTTTTGGTTTGTGGAACACAGGTTTACTTGCGATGTTTTCCTTTACCACTGAGGATGTGATAATTAAAATTTGCTTAAATCAAAATTTCATTGGTGCCCTCACCGGAATTTGAACTCTGTTTGCTAGAATATATTTTATTACAAGAAAGCGCCCGGACTGCTTTCACAGCTGTAGTCTACTTAAATCCACTTTAATTGCGATTTTTTTTATGTGAAAGTTTCTAAGCGAGCAGGCGGTTCACCTCATCTCTTCTGATATCAGAAAATATCGAGTATGATCAGTAGACAACACAAACCAGTGTGAACAAAATTGACAGTATGTGGTGAATATTTACAAGTCAAATAAAGAATGTACTACATCACCATCTATTGACAATTTGTTTAAATGAAAGATAGATATTATCATTTGGTGATGATCCTATATAAGAATATTCATAGTGTATGCTCAAGCAACCCGAAATACATTGCTAGTGAGGCTTTAATGAAATTGTTAGTTACAATATCAATTGCTGATACATAACATGCACAGCAGTAAAGAAAATGATTTTAAAGTAACCTGTATGATTCCAACGTAATAATTTAAAAAATAGTATTTTAGATATATGTATGTGATGTCTGTAAATCCACATTGGCGTCCCATGATCAAATTATTTGTTAATACCTCCTACACAGAGAAGATATTGTCCAGCAGTGTGAAATACAGACTGTTACTTTTACTTTAGTGAAGCATACTTGGAACTTAGCAATTGGGACACTGCATAGAATATGAGCTTTCTCAAAAAATGAATCTAAAATTTCATAGACCAGATTATAGGGCAATGAGGTTTCTTCAACAGAATTTTTTTTAATTAAAATATGTCTAAGATTATAACACACTGTTGATGTTAGAAAGTCAGCATCAAAGCAAAATTGGAGTGTTTCAGTAATACACACTAGGGTGTAGATAGAGAAAGTATGAAATAACTCTAAATCTTAATAACTAAAGCTAAACTTTAATGTGGAAATAATAACTATACAAAAGCTTAAAGTTATGGTTAGGACGCCTTTGCAGCATCAGCTGCTTTCTGCTTCTCCAAATTCTCTCTTTCAGTTCTTCTGTTTCTCCAAGCTGTCATATAGCATCGAGGATGGATAGGGAAGAAGCCAGCGAGACCTGAAGTTTAAGGTTTTAATACTTTCAAGTTTCTTTTCATCATAGATGAAAAATAAGTGCAAAATCCTTAATATTTACTACAATATATTTTATTATTAGACTTAATGATTATGTAAATAAAAAAAATTAAGGTGGAATGAGAGCCTACCTAGAAGTTCCGCCACTGGTGTAGTAACATGAGCACCTTGTCCTAACCAGTATTTAATTCTTTCTAAATTAAGTGCTACCAGTTTCTCATTGTTGAAATTTGGCATTGGGTCATATGAACCAAGTTGTTCTATAACTGGCTGACTGTTTAATCTTCTGCGCTGTAAAAAGTTAAGACAACAAAATTAAAGTCAATTTAGCTTTGTAACAAACAAGAATGACAAAGTGATACTATTCTGGTCAAGAGTTGTGGAGTTTCGGTAACTACGGAAGACTTGTTCAGTGTTCTGTCGTGCTCGAGAAAGGACTATTCTTTATTTACGTACTAAATTATTTGAATAACTTACGTGAGTTACGGATATGTGAAAGAATGGCCTGTTAGTACATCCCTGCCGAATAAGTCTAATAGACTTTGCAGCTCTTGCGAAGTATTTGCCAGTTCCACTAGCCGGAGGAAGAGGCATAATTAGGATTGATTATTTTATTATGTAGTCAAAACAATTCAAGAGAAGGCAAACCAAAATATTAACTAATGACAGGATAATAACCTAAAAAACCTTAGGGCTCAGTTCGGAAATAAATAATTAAACACCTGAATCTTATGTAATAAAACTTAATTATTTTATATCTTATAATAATTATCATTATTTATGTCTTATAATAAAATCTTAAAAGAATATGTTATAGTATAAATTTTTATACTACAAAACAAATATTTTTCAAAACATTTATGATGAGACAGACACAGTATTCAAAGAAATCTGTCACTAATTTTACTTAGGTAGTTGATGAATTTCCAAATGTGGAAGTTGATAACAAATTTACAATTTCATTGAGTACAAAATATACTACGCCACCTTATTATTTCCTCTAGATAGGCTCCACTGTTGATTGCGTTCCTAGCCAAGGTTCAAGCCTCCATCATAACGGCCCGTTTGATCGTGTCGTCCTCTTTCTTCTCTCGGCTCTCTCCAAGTCGAATCCTCTATCTTTTGCAAACAGGAGTCGCTGTGTGTGTAGCGGAATGAACGGTGTTATAATGCCACCGTCGACTAAGTAACTTAACGACCTCTTACTAGCAGATTAAAAATCTTGCAACTTCTTCTATACTATAATAAAAATGTAACTGATCGTTGTCTGTACATGGAATATATTTGAGAAATAATATTATTGGAGGCCTTTATCAACGTAATAGAACCCAAAGAATGATTTTTAAAATTTTTGTCTGTTTGTCTGTGCGTTTGTGCGCGCCTATAAAAGGAAACGGAGCGGCTTAAACGATTTAGTTACAACTTTCACTAATGCACTTAAATAAGCTTCACTTAACATTTACTGTTGGTTTTATTTCAATCGGTTCATAAATAAAAAAGTAACATCAAGTTAAAAAACCATATTGAATATTTGTGCGATAAAATGCTATGTTGAAACTATAGTTAACTACTAGCTGCTGCCCGCGACTACGTCTGCGTAGAGGGGTGAAAATTTAGGGTTGTATGTATTTTTGTATGCTGTGTCATAAAAAAATAAAAACAAAAAATTTTGCCTAAAAAATAAAAAAAAATTTATTGGTGGACTACCCTTAACATTTTGGGGGATGAAAAATAGATGTTGGCCGATTCTCAGACCTACTGAATACGCATATAAAATTTGGTAAAAATCGGTCGAGCCGTTTCGGAGGAGTTCAAGTTCGAACCCCGTGACACGAGAATTTTATATATTAGATATATTATGTGTCTGTAAAATGATGATTGATAGTAAGTTAAAAAAAACCCGAACAAGTGCGAGTCGGACTGGCGCACGAAGGTGCGGCGGGTGGTTCGGAATGCGCCCCGAACGATTTTCCGCCATTGCGTGGGTCTTTCTCGACCTACCAACATTGGGTAAATTAAAATGCTATGATTTTGCGAAAACATGATGCACTTATACATTTTTTTTGTATTGTTAGAATGACCTGGATCTCAACTTCCTTAGATTCGATTCGCCCTTGGATTTGCTTAACAGGAAATGACCCAGGCACCTGGGAAAGCGGCGGGCCAATGTTTTAAGCACGATATAAAATGTATTACATGTGGGCGGAGCCCAGTAACCTACCACAGTAACCAGATATCAATTTTCTGCAAATTGGCGCAATAGTCAATTACAACTAATATTATTAATGACCTGAAACCTTTATTTACTTTTGTATTCTAGTCTGATGGGTAAATAAATATAAAAATATTTAATTGCAAGTAATTGTTAAAATATTAAATTGGCACATAAGAAATGCGATATTGAATAAAGGGAAGAGCCTTGGCAGTTCAATGTGCACTAGTTCGCCCTCGCCTCCGAGCACGGCGAGACCAACACAACGCGTACACAAGGTACACCCGCGTTCCGGGGTGGTTCTCACCGCTCCCAGCCACCGATTAGCTAATTGCACAGTCGACGGCCATCGGGGTTTCGGTCCGAACCGCGACCTCGATGGCCCTTAGATGACATACCACACTTAAACGTACGCATGAGCACATGCGTGGCCCTACCCACAGCGGAGGGCCCAAACCCCGTGGGTTCTGGCTAGCCCACCGGTTCTGCGTCAGATGAAGCTTTAATAGTCTCGGGACTGAAAGCACAAACATCAGTTAATACAAGATACAAGACAAGTTCAATGTATTGGCGATCTTTTTGATGATTTAGAATCTTATTTACGAGTACCTACCTAGTCTGATTTCTGTACTTGTCACTGCACTAATGATATTGTTCGCATATCATTAGTGCAGTGACAAGCATCGCATATTCGCATATTTACCGAGTAGTAAACGGCAATAAACCATTTTAAGGAAACCCATTTATGACTAAGAAATAAATAAAAACACTGTATAGTTTCATATACTTATGAAAGTCTGTGAATACACAATGTTGGAACATGGTGGACTAAAACATAAAATGAGACTGTTACCCTGTAGTGGAGTGGGTTTTATACCTACTCGTACTTCTGCACTGTACTATTACGATGGTGTAGTATTTAGCCCCTAATGGCCCAGCCCAGTTCTGGCCATACAAATGTGAAAGGGCAAAGACTCTCAGAAGACCGGCATGCAGTGGAAGTATTATACTCTCGCGTTTTGTCTGATGAGTGAGGTATAGGGGTATACTTTTTTAAAGGAGACTCATCTGCAACCCTTTGGGTATTACGGAAGTCCATGGGTGACAGTAATCACTTAACATCGGGTAAACGGCCTACTTGCTTGCCACATAAAATATTTAATTAAAGTGACAGCCTGTACCTACATGTCCCACAGCTGGGCAACGGCCTCCTCTGTACAGAGGGTATCAGGGCATAGTCCACAACGCGGCCTCACTGCGGATTGACAGACTTCATATATCTTCGAAATAATTTTTTAGTATTATTTCGAAAATACGCAGATTTCCTCACGATGTTTTCCTTCATCGCGATAAATATTTACTTATTCTAACAATATAAGTATAAGCTTTTTCATACTTTACTGAATACACGTGTAAAATGATACTTAATTTGAATATATAGTAAACCCCAACAATGGGTTTACGTAATCGTGAGACACCGGCTTGTCCACACGAGGGAAATTTGATAAAGATGTACCTTTACAGTAATTGCTAAAATACAGTAATAATTGCGCAAATCGACACTAGAAGTCTTTTTTCTTATTGTATCTTTCCCAGATTCGAAAAATATCAATTTTTCCTCATAACCTATCTTTGCTATGAATAAAAAACTTTCATTGTTTGTTTTGTAAAATATCACAAAGTTATTTTATACAATAAAAAATGCAAGTCAGGCAAAAATGCTGCATTTAAATTTAAGTACACAAGTATGTATTTTTTACACATAAGCATAACATAACATTACACATTTTACAGACAAATAGTAATGGGCCACTATATTTCGTGTTTCCATTTCAATTTTTATATTATTAAAATACCAACGTTTCCACTCGACTTTCACAACATAGGAACATGTCTAATATTTCTGTCTAATAGAAGAAGTAATATCAAATCGTAATTTTAAAGGATTATATCGATATAGGGGCATAGCGAACAGCACTCGCCTCTTCCCGGTTATAACCCGCCTATGACCGACATAACTTCGACCTTACTACAGAAAAGGATAGAGGTACACGCGCGTCACATGTGCGAAGAGCGCGAACGATGTAAGTAGGTCACGGGATAAAAAGCATCTTGAAGTGACATTCTTAGATTTAAGCGCTGCATCGCTAGAAATAGGGAAACGGGAAGCTGAATAACTGGTCTATAAATAGACATTTTCGTTGGAACGTTAAGGCTGTAATCGATTGCGTGTAATAGTCGCGCAATCCTTTGCTTTGTTTACGAAACGAGGGTGATAATAGCCTTGTTAGTACAGTCCGTTTTGCGACATTAAGCTTCTTATGACGCGTTTGTCATCTAGAAGCTTATGAAAATGTTATTTTGTACACTTTCTTATTAACTGTAACTTCAAAACGATTACATAATTCTGAAAAGACGAACTATCATAGAAATAAAGCACTAATCCATGACATCGTACGTCCCAATTGCACATAGGTTCGCAGCTGATAAAACAGAGTTTTAGGAAGTGCATCGATAAGCGATCCAATGCCATTAAAAGCAACCCATTGATCGTAAAAACCGGAACCCACCACATCCGCTGTAGGCGGAGGCAGCATCGGATTCATCCGATCCGGAGCGCTGAGCGTCGGTCGCCGCAGCCGCTTGACGGCGCGCGCACGCGCCCGCCGGCCCGCGATCGATCCCGCCGAGCGGGGCCGCTCCGGTCCCAGTGACCGCCCGAGCGCCCGACGTTCAACATGCGGCCACACTGACGCCCGGTCCGCGGCGGACACGTCAAGCTGTATCTGCGCGAGTACGCGCCGGACGAGGGGCCGCCGCGCGAGGAATGGCGCCGGCCGGAGTGGGGGAACCGCGGTCGCCTGCCCCAGGTGGACCGCAGCCCCTCCCGGCGGAGCCCGTACCTCGCGCGCGATGAGGAGCCCTCGCCGGCGCCCGACGAGCGGGGCCGCTCCGCCTCGGCGGGCGCCCACCACCGCGCGCGCCCGCGCCCCCTACGCTACCAGTCCCTCGAGCGGGAGTACGACCGCTCGTACGCCCCGCCGCCCGAGGAGGAGTACTACCGCCGCGAGCCGCCGCTCTTCCTCGGCGAACTGCAGTCGCAGAACTCGGACCTGCAGCGCGAGCTCGGCAACCTCAAGAAGGAGCTCGAACTGACCAACCAGAAGCTCGGCTCCAGCATGCACAGCATAAAGACCTTCTGGAGCCCCGAGCTGAAGAAGGAGCGCGCGCTGAGGAAGGAGGAGAGCGCCAAGTACAGCCTGATCAACGACCAACTTAAGCTGCTCAACCAGGAGAACCAAGTGAGTATATTTTAGACCAGATGAAACTTTCGTTTCGTTCACTATGAAGGTTTCTCTGTCTCCCGCTTTTTCCTTCTTTCTTCTCTCCCCACCTCTTTATACAACTTATCCCTTGTCCCTTGTCTTTCGCTTTATCCCTAAAGCATTACATCTTCCCTTCACGAAGTAAAGCTTAATTTTATGTCCTTTTTCCAAACCCAACTGACTTAGCATTGTGACCTACTTTCCTTCCATAAAAAGGCGTTTCTTTTCAGAAGACTGTGCGTTGAACGTAATAGCTCTGAATATACGAACGTTAAAAACTGAACGAAAATTACATTTCAAAATTGTTCGACGTACTTCAGAGCGTATCTTAACTATTCATGAAGCGTCCGTAGCTTTGGTGTTCGTAGCCGTCCTACGCATGCTTGGAATCGCCTATTCAATGTTACGTTCGTAGATCAATGAAGTCTGCAGCTACATTCATTAGCCTCGTCGCTCACGATTCTACAGATTGTAAAACCACTCTAATCACAGCCGGCGACGAATGTAAAACTGTAATTACGCATTCATTACAATTTAATCAATTATATAAAAGAATTTCAACGACCTCATGTTGAAATTCTATTGTCTCCGATATGAAAACGTAAAATGGCCATAAATTTTATGACTGTGGAGGTTGAATTTACGCGTTTCACGCCTGACGTTAGGCGGCGATCTCAAATGACATCATCGGAGGGTACCCTAATCAAATAAGGAGGTTAAATTACATAACCCAGTTTGTAACGGACTCAGATTGTCGTGGAGTCTAAATTATCCAGTTATCTTAAACTGGTTTAGACGATTCTTGTACTAGGAAGAGAGAGCCCCCAGAATGTACGGGAAACTGGCTAACGCACTGCTTTTATATGAATGAAATTAAGTAGGAAGACGAACGCAGTATGCAATTTTGGAATATTTCGATGGAATTTTGTTAGCGCATACCATGACGTGCCAACCATAATTAATTACCTGCCTACCGACTTTACATTTCTGTCAAATTAAAAGACTTGGAATCGAGTATGGAATAAGAGGAAGTAATTCTTTACTTCCTATACTTCCTCTGGACGAACGCTTTACAATTTGCAATAAGTAAGGACGTGTTCTAATTAAAATCAGATTCTTCCAGGATATTATTATATCTTACTAAAAATATAAAACAAAACCACTGTAACAGGTTGCGAGATCACTCAAATCAGTAACGAACAGACGCAGACAATAAAAGATACAGATCTGCTACATTGTAAGACATTCCGTATCAAAGAGGTTCTTGTGATCTGTCTGAAAACCCTTAACTTATTCCCGAGACAGTTGCTTCGTAAAAATATGGACTATGCTGAGTCTTCTATGTGAGAATGTATCTTATATTCAGTTTTAAAATACTATGGAGTGACTATGGATACATATACAAAACCCGTGGGATGGAAATCAAATTGACAATCCTTAAATAACGACTGGAGACCAGTCACCTCACTAATCAGATGAAATGTTCAATTATAATTATTTGTATATTACGAAACCTAGTGCTACCGCATACAAATCGGCTCGTTAATTGAACAGACGTTATGTGGCTCCAGCATGCAGACAAAATGGTTCAGGAATTACTTTTCTCAGTCAGAAGAACGGCTACTGAATCTGAGTCTGATCTTGACAGCAATTTTATTCTTCGTTTATTACTTAAAGATATAGCTAAAGGTTTTAGGCAGAAAGAGGTCCCAGTCTCAAGCAGTTATATAAAAGAGCAGTCACTTTAGAATACGATAAAGGGTTGTTAAACGTAATTAACATTCAGGTACAAGTGAATTAAGGTATACTAACGGTCGTTCAATAATGATTTGGTTATTATATGCGGTAGGTATTTGACATTAGCTGCGTAATACTTACGTCAAAATTCTATCTTCAGTAACCAAATCTATCCGTAGATTGAATACTGATACCGGCCGTAAATATTCGAAGATAGAAAAAAGAATAATATCCAACAAATATAAGTGACGGATATATCGTAGTTGAGTATGCGAGAGTCAATTATTGAGTAAGAGAGAGACGACCTGCAAGTATGCGAGAAGTCAATGGATGCAGGTGGCTCAGGATCGTGGTTCGTGGCAGTCTATGTCCTACGTTCAGCAGTGGACTAAAACAGGCTGAAATGATGATGATGATGATAAGTGGCGGCAAGGATTTGACCAGTGCCATAGTTCGAAAAAATGTCACAATCTTTTCGAACTATGGCAGTTTGTCGATGTAAAAGATGTACGACACAGACAGTTTTTACGAAAATGTAACACACTGTTCACACTCCTATCAAGAGTTATGCAACAGTCATGGACGCAAAAGGAAACCGGGGGAGATAAGTGCAAATGTACTTCATGGTCGATATATTCGTGCCACTGAACCCGAAAATCGGCTAGGCGCCCATAACATGTCTAATATTTTACATTTTTACATCCATCCGAAACTGATAGCCGTGAATATGATAGCTCAGTGTCCGTGCGATTGATTTAATTTCAATGTCGAGTACATAGAGACCTGAGTTCAAATTAATTTTAAGTTCTGACTTATCACGTGCTAAAATACCGTGAGGAGGGAATAGTATTTTAGCGTGCCATTATACCCTTTGCCCAGCAGTGGGACTTTTAAATAGGCTTCTACTTTTTTTTTACAGTGGTAATCTCTGCACTTGAGATGAAACATTAAAATTGATAGAAAAAAGGACAAAATGAAACACGTCTTCTGGATTGACGCACAGACGCTGCAACCACTAAGATAAGCGAAACAGCTGATTGTCACACCGGCGTAAATCATGGCTTTCAAATTTCATATAACAATGGCTACATATCTCACGCAATGTTGCGTCCTGTCCTCTGCAAATTTTAAGGCTATAACTTTATTTTATTTTTTTCCTAAATAGAACGTTTGGTTATATACTTATGGATAGGTTAATAAAATGCACAAAGCGTCTCTTTAGAGGAATATAATAAAATATAATTAATATTACCGAGAATGACAATGTTTTGAACGTTCTTGTATCTTGCACGTTTTTCTGACATCAAATTCAAATATCTTTAGTTAAGTAGGAGCGTTAAACTCGCTATATAACTACCGATTCGGAGAAGAAAAGCCACTGACCTGAGAAGAAACGGCGAAAAACTAAAAAAACACTCAGTGGGCCGTTTTTTTTACCATTTCTTGACAGGGGAAACGTATATAATAATATTAAATTGAAATAGCCTGAAGCGATCAGCACATCAGTATGGTAACCAATTTAAAAGTTGACAACTGACGTAAAACAATGGAGTTAAAGTGGACAGAGGTCCGATTATAAGAGAAGAGTGCAAACGTAATTCGGAGAGGGAATCCATTGGTAAGCGTAGCGGAATACGTAATTTGGATCGTAAAATATACAGCGAGCTCTCAACACGACGGGTTCTTAGGGGAGCCGAAGACAACTCCATCTTTGGATTTACGTATTCGTAAAACTGGCTCGGTTTCCGTCCGTAATTGTTTCTGTTTTCTTATTTATTGTATCGTTTAAATAGGATACATTCAAAACCGTGTCGCAAATGCGGTTAATAAACTTAAAAAGAAGGACGAATTCTTTATGAAGTGAATTCTATTATACAAATAAACAAACAAATATTTTAGGACATTCTTCATATACAGGTCTGAGATTAATGAAATCCGAATAAATCAGTGCCTATGGAAATTAGAAATATGTTGTTTTTAGGAGGGGAAGGCTATGGTCGCAATGATACATTTAGATCTCTTATTAGAAACATTCTTCATCAATTCATCATTATACAACATTCATAGATTAAAGCATTCTTAATGCGCGTTTGCATTATCTAATATTAAATAATTAGATGGAAAAAAGAATTTTAATAATAAAAATTACTTAAAGCATGGATGAAATCAATGTAAAGTTTGCTTTACATTGATTTCATCCATAGTTGTATAGTGTATAGTTTTCATAATAGTTTGTACAGAAACAAAGGAGACGGATCATCTGCCTGCAAGCCTGTTTGCGTCCCCTGCTGAACATTGGCCCTTCCCACAGACTGCCACGAAGCACGATCCTGAGCCACCTGCATCTCGACTTCCCGCACATTTGAACAGGGCGTAACGAAGATTAAAAAACATTATAAATACCGTTGCTTTTTATTATAAACATTACCTAGTTAAAAGAGAATGGAAGGAGGTCGTTAGAAAGAGGGATGCTTCAGCAGTTGGCAATGTACAAAATGTTTCTATAGGATAAATGTAACAAGAAATACTGAATGTACTTTATGGTATAGCTGAATCTGTAGGAGACGATATAGACGAACTTAGAGCGATAGATATGTCAGGCAAAGCGTTTAACTATTCATGACCGCACTGAAGGTTTTAACGGTGGTAGCCACCCAACAGTCTTCGCTGTTGCACGGATGGGCAGGTCCGACCGGGTAAGTACCACGACCTCACAGAAGATCGGCGTGAAGCGGAAGTGTTGCAGATGCGTTGCCACCTTTTAACAAAGTGTGGGGCCACTTTGTTAAAAGGTGGCAACGCATCACGCGTCTACGGGTGTCGCAAATGTCAATGGGCAGTGGTTATCACTCCACATCCGGTGAACCGCTGGCCTGTTTGTCACCTTCTCACATAAAAAACGATGTAGGTGGATGAGGAAGAGATATGTAAAGATATTTGCCGCTTAACACAGAGCGTCTAGTCGCGGTACACAGAATCGTAGATTCAAAACCTGGCATCGCTGAAAGTATTTCCACAGTTTATCTACTAAACTCAAATTTTAATTCCATTTCTGAACTAAAGGAAATAAAAACAATCATTCATGTCGATTTCTGAATAGCTCTCTACTGTAATACTAAAAATACACCTATTTGGCGTTCTCTAAGCGTCTCGTCTCACTGACTCGCCGGGACAGCTTTGAACCGCATCATTAGCTACAGTTATTCTGCCGTAACGATTCTTAAATTTTCCCGTCTAGCTTACACAGATATTTTACTTTTTGGAACGTATAGATATTTTTTTATGCGAGAAGGTGGCAAGCGAGCAGGAGGTTCATCTGGTATTAAAAGATAATCGCGGTCCATTGAAATCACCAATCAGCAACACCCGTAAGTTTGCAAATGCGTCGCCACTTATTAAAGTGGGCTCCGGCTACTCAATCACCAGACGAAACGCAGAGGTATAACACTTCTACTTTACGCCGGTCTTCTGTGAGGTCGTGGTACTTACCGGGCCGGACCTGCCCATTTGTGCAACAGCGAAAGCTCTTGCCAGGCCCTACCACAGTTATGACTTTATGAATGATTATAATAATGATGTTAAGAGTCAAAAACCGGTTCATATAATGACATGACTGGACTAAACCATAAATGGCTATAAGAGGATGTAAGGTTAGAGGGAGCCAAGAAAAGTTCGGATGGATTGTGCGAAGAATTGTATGTCTACTAAGAGGTAGAGTCTTGAGACGACGACTGATAAAGGGAACTGGAAGGGAAGGATATGTTGTGCCAAAACCACAAATGTCGAAGAAGGGCAGAATAAAGAAGAAAGGCAATGTAGTACATACGTAACTAATGTTTTGCATCAATTGCCTAGACACCTGTAACAATCACCTGTTTTTGAATGAATTATTAGATTGGACCAATAATAAAAAGATTACCTTTAACAAATTTAAATATTAATACGCGACATGTCAGTTCTCTTCTTTCAGACTTTCTTTCCTATAGGGCACAATGTAGTGCAATTCCGCCATACGAGTACGTCATGCCCTGGCGGAAAACGTACTAAAAATCAACATTAAGTATTTAAATCGCATAGATAAGTAAACTTAGGTTACTCTCGATCGGCAAGTTAAACAAATGACCCCATTTTTTCGCTCAGAGCCGGTATGAGGATACCACAAGACCACAACGTGGTATTTTTAGAAGTCCTATTTCATTTGTTAATACTTTTATGCTTTATTACCAGCACTATCAATAGAAATTACAATTATATTATCATGTTTAATGCTTACGCGAAATGATACAACCTGCTCTTGTCTAGACACAAGTCATAATTTTATGGACCAATGCCAGATGACTGTTGCCAGAAATTTGGCGAGCGGTCTCTTTCTTATCTGAAGCTCAACAGATTTTTACACTTCCATTAAATTTGAAGTGGTTTCTTTGGACAATATTTCACTTAAATGTGCTACGTTTTCAGACAGCGTAACCTTTAACGTAAGCTGTAGACCTACGAAATTAGTTGCTAACGACATCTAAATGCTTCACAATTGGATACTACAAGGCCTGTAAAACGTTTTAAAATTTATTTCATATAATAAATATACAAAACAAAGTAATGGATACATAATTTCATTCGCATCTAGTTTATTTTCCGAGAAATTTTTCGATGAGATTTCGGTAAGGACGTTACTATGATAGGAGAAATTGGATGAAAGCTGCTCCTAATCCAATTGTACAGAAAACACTGACGTATTTCCACGGGAAATTGAGTATTATTTCATATATTACACGGATTGTCAAGCGAGTCACTTTGTAAATGAACATTTAACATTAGAATGTGATTTTTAATTCAGTCGTACCTATATAATGCAATGATTTTTTTAATAACGCAAACCAATACCCGATAGTACATAGTTTTCGAATCAGATTGAATTGAGAAAGACATTTATTTGTATGCTTACCTATTTATGTAAGTATTTATTAAGAGTGAGCAACAGTTAATTTTATAGCGTTTAATATTTATTTCTTAGTATCGAGATTAAGTCCGCCGAGTCTAAGGGCGCAGGATAAAATTATTTTAATTTTTGAACACTTGAAATTTGGACCATATCCCAGAAGTGGATGATAATGCATGAAAATGTGTAGAAAGAAGAAGAAAATAAATGTACTATTTTTTAAGATGTACTATGGGGCTAGCTGTGTTCGCCATTTTACGACAAGCAAAAGCGACAACACTACATTTACTTTACACTATGCAAATGTTAATACCAATAATAAATCTTATCCTTCAATATAAACCCATCCAAACTGATCGCTCCTGCAAGATAGTTATGAAATGAATATGTATTTCGCACCAGCAAAGTAAAGTTCTGTTTGATAAATCGTTGTTTTAGTGAAGTTATTTAATTCGACTCGATTTCATCTGCCAAAAGAGCTTTATTTGGCACCGCGTGACGGGTCTGCGGAGGTCCTTGATATCCTCGCGCTCCATTTGGCAGTGATCCTTAATGGTCCTGGGAATGGCCCGAAGGCAGACGCTGCGGCGCCCCCAGGGGCGCAGCGAGGCTGTCTGGCCGTCTCGAAGACCCAGTTTCGAATTTAGGTTACGGTTTAATCGATAATGAGTCGGCTGTTAGACGCGTCGCTCGCGTTCGCTGCACCGAAATTTGAGTGTTTCATTATTAAGATCAAATCGCCTTTATTGGCAGAAACATTATTTTTTAACCCACTTCAAAAGGTGGAGGTTCCCAATTCGACTGTATTTTTTTTTTATGTTTGTTACCTCACAACTTTTTACTGAATGAACCGAATTTGATGATTCTTTTTTTTATTTAAAAGCTATTGCTTCCCATGTTAATTTCATTGGTATTGGATCTTGGGCTCCGGAGATACTTAGGGAGCTCCTGAAAAGCAATTATAAAATGAATACAGAACGAAATATTTAAAGTCGGTTTTGTTTTTAGTTAGTAAAAAAAATGGTTATTTTAAAATTTTATAATTTTACCGTATTCAAATTTTTATAATTTTGGCATCTCTTGACTGGGTTGACTGATGGAGAATGCGAGAGTCCAAAGACATTAGGTCCACCCTTTTTTATCTGTTTCATTTAAATTTGGCAATAAAGATTAAATAATAAATAAATGTGGTAAATATAGTTTTCCAATATACGTCAAGTCCAGACATATTTCTTGCCTCATTGCACCTTAGCAGCTTTTACTGAACGAATGGGGAGGCTTATCCGAAAAATACAATACATAGACCCGCGGAAGTGGAAGTAAATAATTTCGCGTTTCGTCAAGTGAGTGAGGTAGCCGGGGCTCACTTTTTAATGTTCGGCAACGCCTCTGCAACCCGTCAGGTGGTGTAGATATCCACGGGCGGCGGTAGTCAATTAACGTCAGGGCAACCATCCGTTCGTTTGGCAACGTTTCCCATAAAATCACCCAGAATACTCGTTTAACTTCACACGTGCGTTGTTTCGTTCAATATTCGATGTATGAGGTGGTGAATATTAAACACGATCCGTGTTAATGCTTTATCGAAGCCCGACGCTGCCCACACCTAGCAACTTGGCAAACTCGCTACGCAAGGGGCGAGGAAGCGCATCATTAAAGATGGAGACGCGCGGAAGGAAGGGCCTGCGGGGCCTGACAATACTGTATAGTATTGTCGGGCGCGACATTAAATTTGCGCGTTTAAATACGTTTTTAATTGGATGCGAAAATGGGTCTCGCGTATTCTTACCAATCTCGTGGTTATGTACATTTGTAATAACCACGCCGCGCACAGCAATTTCATTGTTTTATTTTTTCCACGATTATGTCCTTGCGTTATTCCGTCCGAGTTTCGTTAAGTTTTTAGGGTTCCTTAAGCAAAGGGTCGTCTGTCACTAGGCTGTAGCTCATGAACTGTGATATTTAGACAGTTGAAATTTTGAAAGTAATAGTTTTCACAAAAAATATATAAGTGGAGCTCCCATACAACAGACAATTATTTTTGAGATAGTGGTACGGAACCCTTCGCCCGACTCGAACTTGACGTGTATTTTTTAACTTTATATAAACATACGAGTACATGATGATGATATCATTTTACAGATTTAAATATATAAATATATTGTTAACTATACTTTCATCTAATTCAACTGAAGCTATTACATAACATTTTATCGCACAAATCTTCAATGTGATTCTTTAAGTTGATATCTCTTTTTTATTAATGAACCAATTTTAATAAAACTAGATTTTAAGCGAAGCTACAATGTATTAGTGAATTTTGCACCCAAATTGGTTGTCGTTTCTGACATTAGCGCGCACAAACACACAGACAGAGAAAAATTTTAACAATCATTGTTTTGCGTTTTACTGCGTTGATAAAGG